CTCAGTAGCATGTTGGACACCTTTCGACCTGAGGGGCCCATCTTCCAGCATCATTATCTTTTAGCCTTTTGTTTCTAATCATGGGGCGTTCCTGGCAAAGATACTGGAGTAGCATTGCCATTTCCTAATCCAGGTGGATTGCATTTAGTCGGAACTCTACACTTGAGTAACTCAGAGAAGCTATGCGCTATGCCGTGCAGGGACACCCAAGACGGACAGGATATAGTGTAGAGTTCCGACATCACCTTGCCAACAAAAGTTCGCCTAGTCAAAGCTATGGTTTTTCTTGTCGTGATGTATGGAAGTGAGAGCTGGACTATAAAAAAAGCAGACCGCTGAAGAATTGATGCCTTTGAATTGTGGTGCTGGAGGAGGCTCTTTAGAGTCCCCTGGACTGCAAGGAGAACAAACCTATCAATTCTAAAGGAAATCAACCCTGAGTGCTCACTGGAACGGCAGATCCTGAAGCTGAGGCTCCAGTACTTTGGCCATCTCATGAGAAGAGAAGACTCCCTGGAAAAAATCCTGATGTTAGGAAAGTGTGATGGCAAGAGGAGAAGGGGACGACAGTGGATGAGATGGCTGGACAGTGTCTGCGAAGCAACCAACATGAAATTGACACAACTACGGGAGGCAGTGGAAGATAGGAGGGCCTGGCGTGCTCTGGTCCATGGGGACATGAAGAGTTGAATACGACTAAACGACAATGACAGTTGTTAAGGAACGTTTATGAAATGGGGATCACATGCCCCCTTTTTGTATGAAAGAGGGAGAATCATCACAGAAGAGGTGCTTTTCCCTCCCTCAGAGCAAAATGTCATAATTCAATATATGGGAGAAGAAACCCTGTTAAGGCAATGATGAGCTAGCAGACATACTCAAAAACAGGTTTGAATATGTGATCCTTTCAATAATGTACTTTTGCCTCAATAATGGATGCTTCACTTAATCTTTCTGGATTTCCGAGGAGGTTTAGGAGCTTGTTCTTAGTACATGGCTTGTTCCATCAAATAGGAAAATCACAGAGTGCACTGCACCCTCCTCATGTTTAAGCAATGTGTGTCTGCAAATAAATAGATTTCCTGTGTTTTGAACATGCAGGTGAGTGAAGGAGGATGAAAGCATGGCTGATGGAGTTAATTATACACTTGAGTTGCCTCATATAGGCCATATTTGACAAGCTTGTGAAAGGCAGCCTTGACTGAGGACACTGGAGAGCCGTGTGCAAAGATTAATAATATTGAATGCACTTTCTCATGTAGTACGTGGCTGACAATTGGTGGGAAATACTTAGACCTGTTTGTAAATGTAGACAGCCCAGGACTGCCTTCTGCTATGCAAGGAGACAGGGAGGAGTTTAATCTTCTTAGCCACACACTGGGCTGGTGCAGAAGCAGCGAGAAGTAGTTTTGGCAGTATCAGATAGCACTTTTTCCTTCGGGTTTGCTGTGTCCTAAACTTCATAAGAGGATGGGAAAGAAAAAAGCAAGGTCACCTCTTGCGACACTAAGCCACAGAAACCTTACTCTGGTGCATTTCTGTAAAGAGCAGCCTTCTAAGAACCCGCTTGGGTGGGAAGGTGGTGGTGAATACAAGCAGGCAGGAAGTCTCTTGAAAACGAGTGGTCTGCCTCGGATAGAGGAGGAGGCTTCCTGCACCGTCTTGCCAGGAGTGCTAAAGAACAGTGACAGACAGGTCAGTTCCAGTGGGGTGGAGGAATATAATGTTAATGTGATGGCTACGCTCAGTTCCTTGCTTGGTGGATGGATTGTGTTGAATTTCAACGTCCTCTTACTTGAAGGTGAGCCCTATTAAAGGCAGTGGAAATTACCCTAAAGGAAGAATGTCAAGAATTGCACCGCTAATGGAGCTCTTGAGATAACTTCATAAGTAAAGAATACAGAAATTTCTTTTGAGTAGTAAATATAGAATAAATTATTAAAATGAATTCATATGAGGTTCCTTCACCTATGAAGATCTAAAACTTTGTAATTGCATCATTATGACCTACCAGCTTCTCTCTCTCTCTCTCTCTCTGTCTTCTGGAAAACAATTTCCACCACTCCCTAAGAAAATTAACTAGAAGAAGTAAATGACCTGTCTCAGTTTACAGTTTAAGAATGGCTTGCTCTGATAGCTACTGCTGGCCATCAATCTAGGGGCACTCAGAGAGTAGGAAATAATAGCAATTGCTTGGAAAAGGAAGCAATCGTTATATACAAGATTCTTATTGGAAACAGATGCTAGCAATAAATCTTGGCAACGCATCAGGCTGCATCAGTTGAGCATTTGCTCCTCTTTTATAGATTTGCATATCAGGCAAAGAATCAGCAATTTACAGTGGTACCTCGCTAGACGATTACCCCGCAAAATGACAAATCTCCATGACGATGAGTTTTTGCGATCGCTATAGCGATTCGCAAAACAATGTTTCCTATGGGAGAATTTTGCTGGACAATGATTTGGTCCATGATTTGCAAGATCGTATTTTTTCAGCACCCTTTTCCGCAAGACGACAGTTTTGACAGCTCGCTCCGCGCTCGCAAAATGGGTGTTTTTGGGACTGATGCTTCTCAAGACAGCGATTTTAAGAGCTGATCGGCAGTTCGCAAAGGGGCTTCCCCTGTAGGCGATCTTCGCAAAACGACGACGATTTGTCCCCATTGGAACACATTAAACGGGTTTCAATGCATTCCAATGGGGAAATGCTTTTCATAGACGATGTTTTCACAAGACAACGATTCAATGCTTCAAGCACTCTCTGGGCGGTTTACAAGTTAATTACGCAGGCTACACATTGCTCCCCCAGCAAGTTGGGTACTCATTTTACCGACCTCGGAAGGATGGAAGGCTGAGTCAACCTTGAGCCAGCTACCTGGGATTGAACCCCAGGTCATGAGCAGTTTTGGCTACAGTACAGCGATTTAACCACTGCGCCACATCATCTAGCAGGGCACCACTGTACTGATCTGGGTTAGTTATGGTAGTGGACTCTCTTTTATACTTAATATTAAACACTGGTATTTTCTCTACTGTCTGGCTATATTTAAAAAAAACATTGTTTGGCAGAACAGTTTCAGTTAATTAACAGTAATAAATACCTCTGTGGAGTTTCTGAGGGAAAAAAAGCCTGGAGATTTTGTTACATCATAAATATATACTTTCATTGGTTATATAGCTGGTGATATTACTGTATTGCCAGTCCATATTAAGTCTTCCATTTAAACGCATATGAGATGAAGCCTCACATGCTAACTAACTCTGCTATGATTGTGAAAATTTAGCCTTTGGAATCTGCTGTTCCCCAAGCTGTGCAAAGTAAAATATGTACCCGAAACATGATTTACAAAATATGGTGTGCAAACATGCTCTGTATTTTTTTCTGAATCAGATCTGCTTAATAAGGAGTCTATTAAATTAATTTTGAGCCTTTCCAGAAATCAAATCCATACAAATCTGTGTGTCATCATAACTCAGTCTGTCATCCCTGTAGAAAAATAATGCTCCAAATTCAGAGGTGGAGCAAAAGCTATGAATAGAGAAGACAACAATTTTAGGAACAGTTTCTGGAAGGTCAGCACTGTAAGTTTGTTGAAACAAAGTCAACAAAGACTCTTCCGGCACCTTAAAGAGCAAAAAAGTTTAGTTGACATAAGGTTTTGCAAACTACAGACCTCTTTGGAATCTGCCTCTGAAGGAGCAGGCTGCAGTTCACAAAAACTCATGCCAAGCTGTCTTTAAGGTGCCACCACAAGGTTCTAGAATGTTCTAACAAGAACCAGAATTGTGAGGAAACAATGCCTATGTTTTGTCTCCATACTGAACTGGCTAGAATCCAGGGTCATCTGTTTCTCCCATGTTCTCCCGTGTAGACAGGACTATTAACGATATTCACGAATGGGGTTTTTCTGGTTTCTGTTGTCTTCTCTAAGGCAGAAGGTACTTGCCTGTCCATTATGGGGCAAATGAACCGGTTGCCTCTCTATTACTACTGCTTCATATAAATTTGGTATAAGGACTTCATTTATTTATTTAATTTATATCCCGCCCATGTAGACCAAAGTCTACTCTGGGCGGCCAACAACAAATTCGTAAAACAATAACAGTATAAAACAAAACAACATTAATATGATTCAATATGGCAAAAATAAATTAAAATAATGACAGGAGAGAAGCCCTGCCTAAAGAGCCAGGTCTGAAGCTTGCTCTTAAAAACACCCAGCAAGGGAGCCAGACAAATTTCTGGGGGGAGATTATTCTAGAGCCTAGGGGCCACTGGTGAGAAGGCCCGCTTTCTTGTTCTTTCTCTTCGGGCCTCCCTTGGCGTCAGGCCCCTCAGCCGCCCCTCCTGGCTACAGCAAGTGATGCAGGTAGATCTAGGTGGGAGAAGGCGTTCCACCAGATATTGAGGTCCTAAACCGTTTAGGGCTTTATATGTCATCATTAACACTTTGAAATCAATGCAGAAATGAATAGGCAGCCAATACAGGAGTATGGAGGACTTGGAACAGCGTCTAGTGTGGCTGAGGAGGCCAATTCGAGAGTGACAAACTCTTCCACACTGAAGACAAATCCAATCTGTCCCCTGTCCAGCTCCCTGGTTTTGCTTCCTTTGTGACTTCCTCTTTGCCTCGGCCTGCTGGACAAGGGTCTCTTAAAATTGACACTTTGAAATCAATGCAAAAATGAATAGGCAGCCAATACAGGGCAGCCAGAGTGTGGGAGATATGTCGATATTTTCTCATCCCGGTGAGAAGTCTGGCTGCCGCGTTCTGCACAACTTGAAGTTTCCGCATCAATCTCAAAGATAGCCCCACTACAAGCGCATGGACCATCATCAAGATAGGGACGCAGCTGGGCAATCCACCAAAGAAGGAAATAGGTGGTGTGGACCACTGACGCTACCTGGTTTCCATGGTAAGCGTCAGATCCAGATGGACCCCCAAGCTGTCAACCTCAGTCTTCGTGGTGAAACTCACTCCCCCAAAAGTGAGGGAGTTTCCCAAACCACCAATGGCGGAGCCACCCACCCTCATGACCTCCGTCTTGTCTGGGTTCAGCCTCAGTCTATCTGCATCCATTGTAATGCAGCCTCCAGGCAGCACTGAAGGAACAAAACAGCATCCGCTGTTGTTGGGGAAAAGGAGATGTAGAGCTGGGTGTCATCAGCATACTGATGTCACAAAGCCCCACACCCCCTGATGACTCCACCCAGCGGCTTCATATACATATTAAACAGCATTGGGGAGATAATTGATCCCCGTGGAACCCCACAATTGAGACTCCACAGGACCAAAACACTCTCCCCAAGCTGTACTCTCTGAGGACGGTCCTCCAAGAAGGATCAGAGCCAGACAAGCGCCAGCGCACCAATTCCTGGCTCAGAGAGCCTCCCCAGGAGGATACCGTGGTTGACCGAAGGAAGCTGAGATATTGAGGAGGACCAACAGAGACGTTTTGCCCCATCAGCCTCCCCAGCAGGTCCTTAAACAGGGCAACCAATGCTGTTTCCGTACCATGGTATGGCCTGAAGGCCGACTGAAATTGATCCGGGGCATATTTCAGTTTGTTAAACAGTATCCCTATTGTGGCGTTCACCCTTTGTGGCACCAATTCCTGGCTCAGAGAGCCTCCCCAGGAGGATACCGTGGTTGACCGAAGGAAGCTGAGATATTGAGAAGGACCAACAGAGACGTTTTGCCCCATCAGCCTCCCCAGCAGGTCATTAAACAGGGCAACCAATGCTGTTTCCGTACCATGGTATGGCCTGAAGCCCGACTGAAATTGATCCAGGGCATATTTCAGTTTGTTAAACAGTATCCCTATTGTGGCGTTCACCCTTTGTGGCACCTGTGTGTTTTGCCCTCACAAAGTCTCACGTCGGGTTTTCCTCTCGCCTCAATCCACAATATAAATTACGTTTGTCAGATTGTGAGACACGAGGCGACCAATCCACAATATAAATTACATTTGTCAGATTGTGAGACACGAGGCAACGGGGTAGACTCTCTCACCGGAGTGTCGTCCTACCTCAAAAAGGAGCAAGAGGCACAGACAGACCCACCTACACCACCCGTCGAGACTATACAGTGGGGGGTTGATACTCGTGAATTTCCTACACCACCCGTCGAGACTATACAGTGGAGGGTGTCCTCGTGGGTCCCGTTGGCGACGAGAAACCATGCAGAAGTTGAGTTTGAGCATACAGACTTGCTGTTACATGTTCCAATAAAACAGTTTTGATTCAGGAATGGGAGATATAAAAGGGGAGGTGGATGTAATAGCAGGGGGTGGGAAATGATATGGGTAGAGGACCTGTGGACTGGAAAATGGGAGAAGGTACGGGTTCCTAGGGAAGAGGCTGATTACTGATGGAGAAGGGAGCTGCCTCAGTGTCCCTCATACTGGGGTGAGTCAGAAGCCAGAGAGTGGCGCAGAAGACTCTGGGAAGAAAGAGAGGTAGTAGAAAGGGAGGAAAGGGAGCGTTGGTTATGGCGTCTGGAGGAAGCCCAGAGGAGGGGATTCCTGATAGACTGTGCCCCCCCTTCAAGGAGAAGAAGAGATGAGTCGGAGGGGCAAGATGAAGAGACCACCCTGTTATTGAACCCTAAGACTAAAGCTGCGGAGATGGATAGTAGCAACCTGTTTGTTAAGGGACCTTGGAATGACCTGAACTGTAACCCCTTTAATGAAGATGTTTGGATGCCCTCATGGGTCCCGTTGGCAACGAGAAACCATGCAGAAGTTGAGTTTGAGCATACAGACTTGCTGTTGCATGTTCCAATAAAACAGTTTTGATTTTCCAAAGAGAGTGTCCCCGGTGTCTCTTGAAACCGGAGGAGGTAAAGTTTGAACCCTCACACAGATCACTTGTCTTGGGAATACAAACAGAACTTATTTATTGAAGTGAAGCAGATTTAATAATAACAGAAGTTCTTCAGATAAACATTGTACACAAGCAAATCATTAACAGTTCTCTCAGTACATACTTTTCTCTTGCAAAATCATTACCACCTTCTCTACCTGTTTTCTTAACCAGTCTTATCACTCTGTATCTGTTCTCTCTCTCTCTCTGACTAATCAGCCCTTATCTCTATCTGGATCTCATCCCAATCTCAATCTCTATCTGACTCCTCCTTCTCCCGCCAAACCTTCATATAGCTGCTGACTCCGCCTCGCCAATCCTCTCATAGGTTCATGCAAATTAGCTCATGACTATGAATGGCATGAGTGCCGTGCGGCAATCATCACACCTATCTTTCCCAAATTTGCATTGTTTGCTATGCCTGATTTAGCACTTGGCATGAAATTTCATACATCTACAGATTTGAATTCTGTAATTTAAATTCTGTAATATTGTCCCCGGTGTCTCTTTTGAAACCGGAGGAGGTAAAGTTTGAACCCTCACACAGATCACTTGTCTTGGGAATACAAACAGAACTTATTTATTGAAGTGAAGCAGATTTAATAATAACAGAAGTTCTTCAGATAAACATTGTACACAAGCAAATCATTAACAGTTCTCTCAGTACATACTTTTCTCTTGCAAAATCATTACCACCTTCTCTACCTGTTTTCTTAACCAGTCTTATCACTCTGTATCTGTTCTCTCTCTCTCTCTGACTAATCAGCCCTTATCTCTATCTGGATCTCATCCCAATCTCAATCTCTATCTGACTCCTCCTTCTCCCGCCAAACCTTCATATAGCTGCTGACTCTGCCTCACCAATCCTCTCATAGGTTCATGCAAATTAGCTTATGACTATGAATGGCATGAGTGCCGTGCGGCGATCATCACACCTATCTTTCCCAAATTTGCATTGTTTACTATGCCTTATTTAGCACTTGGCATGAAATCTCATACATCTACAGATTTGAATTCTGTATTTTAAATTCTGTAATGTAAATCTTATCGCCAATAAAGAGTATTTACTTAGATGTGAGTTCTACCATTTCAGTAAGTTCAGTGAAACTGAATCCTAGTGAGCGTGCTTTGGACTATAACCTTGAAAAATCAAACTTTTAAATGTTTAACTTCATAAGCATCAGTTTCAGACTTGATGGAGCTCAGCATCCAGCAGCCAATACTGAGTCATCATGACTGCCATTTGTTTATCCCACAACTAACTTGGGATAAAACGTGACAGAGGCATTCAGAATGCTTACAGAAACGGGTTGCCAACATAGATCTCAGTAGAGTACACTCGACTGAAACTCCCATCATCCTTACTCATAAACTATGTTGGCTAGGGTTAATGAGAGTTGTAGTCCAGCCACAGTCCATTTCCCTCTTCTGTTTCAGTATTGAGATAAGAATTTAAAAGTCTTGGAAACAATTCCATGTTGAAAAAAAATGTTGGAGATATATTTAACGCTACAATATGATTACTGTTTGGATGGTAGTATTGCTGTTGCTGCTAAATTCTGTAGAAATTTGGCAGCTTTGTCTTGCAGCTTGATGGGAACTGCACAAGCATTGCATAGAAAAACTAAACTGGAAAGACTGGGGATGGGAAAGGACATTTAGAACTCAATGTAGGCGCTTGTCAAAAGATTTTTCACAATTTTTCATGATCGCTTGGATGCCCTGAACTTGTTGGTCTCCTAAGACAACAAACCTTCCTGTAACAGGATAATTCATACCTTTCAGTAAATGATCTTTTTGCAAACATGCACCCATTCTGTTTGAACTGTTTCCTAAATTCTCATCTGTTTTATAGGCATCTGGCAATGATTCAAGTAAAAGACAAAGAGCAAATGCGAAAGGAGGAAGAATATAGGATTTATTGTCTCATGCTCTCCGCCAAACTCACAAGAGGCCGTTCTTCCTGCTGATGGAGCTCATGGTCTACCCTCTTGTACACAGTGTGTCTGCGTGTGTACACTGCTGAAACCTATCCAGTTGGCCTATAGCTGTACTGGAACAATCCAGCTGCCAATGAGCAAACACCCTTTATTTACTAAGAAGGTTCAGTTCCCTGAGGATCAATGTTTAGCCCCATGAAAGTCATTATTTTATCCACCCCTAAAGTCATTTCTCAGCAGCCTAACACAGCTTAGCAGAATAATCAGATGCAATCCCAGTTTGGTGCATCAGCTACCCTTCTACTTGCTGTTTTCTAGCTGTGTGCAATACTGGAACAACAACAAACGTAATGTTTAGCCCCATGAAAGTCATTATTTTATCCACCCCTAAAGTCATTTCTCAGCAGCCTAACACAGCTTAGCAGAATAATCAGATGCAATCCCAGTTTGGTGCATCAGCTACCCTTCTACTTGCTACTTGCTAGCTGTGTGCAATACTGGAACAACAGCAAATGTAAAATATGATATATTTGCTTCTTCTTCTTTTCTCTGTATATTCCAGGCAGTATCTGGGCATGATTCGCCTGCCTCCCTATCAGCATCAACAATGAAGCACAGGCTTGCCTTTGACAATGTTAGCTTTGTGGATGACGTGGAGCCTTCACCCTCTCTCCCTTCTCCAGTGAACACTGTTACTCTCCATATCATGGGTATCACTGGCCAGGACACTGTCCAATCTATTGAGGGCTACATTTCCAAGGTAAAAGGAATTGTGAGTGCTAAGGTGTCTCTGGAGGGAAGTAAGGCCGTGATACAATATTTGGAAGCAGAAATAAGTCCCCATCAGATCTGCCAGGAAATAAAAGACTTGGGGCTTGATGCCACTGCAGGAGATACAAAGCAGTCTTCAGCGCCTGGCATAGGAGAAGCTTTCATTAAAATGAAAATAGAAGGCATGACCTGTCAGTCTTGTGTCAACACGATTGAAGAAAAGATTGGGAAACTGCATGGTGTAAAGAAAATCAAAGTCTCCCTCACCAACCAAGAAGCCGCCATTACTTATCATCCTGTTAGAATTAAACCTGAAGAATTAAAGAATAATATAGATGGCCTGGGCTATGAAAGTGCTATCAAGGACAAGCAAGCCCCCTTGAATCTTGGGTTGATCGACACAGAACGATTGTGGCAGGTAAACGGAAGAACCCCTGACGGGCTTGATGGTGACAGAGATATGATGGGAAATAGCGTAACGGATGTTGTGGTGCTGGGTGTGGAAGGAATGCACTGCAAATCCTGCGTCAATCTCATTGAAGGTTCAGTCTCAGACATGCCTGGGGTACGATGTATCAAAGTGTCCTTGGAACAGAAAAATGCCGTTATACAGTTTGACAAAAAACTGACTACTCCATCCTTCTTGCAGCAAGCTATTCAAGCCCTTCCTCCGGGCAACTTTAAAGTATCCTTGTCTGCTGAAGTTGAGAGCCATAATGGACCAACTGTCTCAAACCCAACGTTCTCTTTGCCTTGTCACTCTAGCAGCCCTCCCCAAGTAGAAACACAGAGCGAGTCCAGCACAACCGTAATTAAGGTGGATGGAATGACTTGCAATTCCTGCGTGAAATCCATTGAAAGTGCCATGTCCCAAAGGAAAGGGGTGGTGCATATCTCTGTGTCTTTAGCAGAAGGGACAGCAACTATGTCTTACAGTTCAGTTGTAACCAACCCTGAGGATCTGCGAGCTGCTATAGAAGACATGGGATTTGATGCTTCTGTCCTAATAGGTATTACAAACCAATCTTATCAAAGAGTCCTGTGGTTGGGAAGGATCTGGTTCATCTTCAGATCCTAACAATGGAACATCAAACTTGTTCCTGACAGTGGGACAACAAACACCTAGAGTTTGGAAGCAGCTTGTTATAATAATGTGTTTCTTGTAATTAATTGCTTTTTGAAATAACAAAGCCATGCTAGTTGTGATGCTGTTAAGAGATAACTTTCCATTTGTGGTAAGAGTCCTTTTACAGATAAAGGACATATGTGGCATAACTAACGCATATTAGGGGATTTTCAGAAATACAGTGGTGCCTCGCATAACGAGCACACCGTTTGACGATGAATCCGCATAGCGATGCGGATTTTATGATCGCTAATGCGATCGCATACCAATGTTTTATCGCATTGCGACGGGGGAACAGCTGTTCGCGGTTCCAAAATGGCTGCCGGAACACCCAAAATGGCCGCCGGAACATGGGGAAACACCGCAGAACGGTGAGTTTTGGGCCCATTTGGATCGCATTAAACGTTCCAATGGGCTTTTCCTTTCCGTTTAGCGATGTTTCCCCATAGCGAAGGTTAATCCGGAATGGATTAACCTCGCTATGCAGGGCACCACTGTATTCTGGCATCTTTAAGACAAAAAAAAAATTATTTTAGTGTGAGCTGTCATGGATCACAATCTCTTCTTTCAAACATATTGCTACTTCTGTTCATCCTACTAGACTTGTAAGATAATAAGGGATAGCTTTCTTTCCTTTTTGTGGTAAAACTGCATTTTAATTAATTTCATAAGTACATGATTTGTGTGGCCTTGAGTGTGTCTTCTACCATAAGCCAGCTACTTTTGTTGTCCTAGTTTCTTAAAAAGGAACTTAAAATAAAACTTTTAAAAGTTAGCTTTGAATAACGAGAAGATAAAGAGTTACATTTTCAGAATTTAGAACAGGTCTCCTGCTGTTGCTGCCGCCACTGCCCAGGGCGCCGTGATCCCCAGGTGCCGCCCTCAGAGGCAGTGGCACTGGGAGGAAAGCCGGGGGGGCTGCCTCTGAGCACATGCCCACCTCCCAGCTGATGAGGGCGATCAACTGGGGGGGGGCAGGCACATGCTCAGAGGCAGCAACCTGGCTTCCCTGCCAGGAGCTGCATGGCTGCCTCTGCATATGCGCACGCCAGCCAGCGCGTTACCAGGGAAGACCCAGCACCGGGCTTTCCTGGCAACCAGCTGGTCGGTGGGCCCATATGCAGAGGCTGTAATCCAGCTCCTCTGCCTTCCTTCTCTGCTGCTACCATTGCCTCTCTGGGCCATGTGGGCAGACTGAGGTGATAATGGCAGTTGTGGTGATAGCAGTGGTACGTAGACTAGGCAACAGCAGTGGGGCAGGGGCAAAGATGGGCCCAAATTACTATGGACTGTGAACCACCCAGAAAATGAATGTGTTCATTTAGCCACAAACCATCATGAGCAGTCATTTTTCAGGTTCATGTCTATTTTTACTGGTTAACATCCAGAAGAAGAATATATGGGGCCAAGCCGAGAAGTAAGTTCTACCCGTGTGACTGAAGTATAGCACACTGGGTACAATGTGTATGCCATTAATATAGTTGCAGACAATCTTCCCTCTAAACTGTACGGCTGCATGGCTACACAGCACTGAATTGGGACTGTGCAGCCGAGCCAGAGTTGCTGCCCATTGGCTTCCACTCGCAGCTTTTGCGGTGCCCTCAGAGGCATTGAAAAACAATAGAAAGAGTATCAATTAAATCATACAGAGACTCCTCTTGCTCTGTGGGGCCTTCATTCTGTCATCTCTTGCGGGTCTAAATAGTGAAGAAGAGAGGAGGCAATTCTTTGAGGTGCACTATGGACCTGAATGGGTCTGGAGATGTATTTTACCTCATATCCTTCTCCCAGGTTCAGTGGCAAGCCATTGGGAGCAAGATTCTCACAAACGTCTGCTCCTCCCCCTGGTATTGTCCTCACCTTTCTCTCCAGTTTTATCCCTTTTCCTCTGATCCAAGTCTAAGGGAAAGTATTAGCAAAAGATAATAAATGCTATGCCCACATGGATTCTTACACCACCATATTTTTGGCCTTCATTAAGACAAGGAAATGTCAGAATAATATAGTATTCACCTGCCATTTAAAAGGTTTCCATCTAAACCTACCCCACTGGTTTGCAGGACAGAGGAAACTGCGCTGTGGAGGAGCCTCTGGATGCTGCCCACTAAAATTTCCATCATCCCTCACCATTAGCCAGACAGTTTTAGACTAATAGGAGTTGAAGTGCAACAAGATCTGGAAGGCCAGATGTTCCCAACCTTCCCATAATATAACACTGTTGTAGCTTGAACTATCATCTTTGGTTGATATAAGCTTGTGACATTATTTTAAATAAGTGCAAGTCGATACCACTCTTCCCTGTTATTCCCAGCTTTTATAAGCGAAGCATCCAGTCTTTCCTTATGGGATTTGTCTTCTTAATGTATGTTCTCCTGAAACCTTCTTAGACTATCTTTATATGTTCTTAGAAATGTAATATGAATACAGTAACAGTGTTTTCAAATGCAATCTACAATCCTATTTGAAATTAAATAAGTGCAAGTCGATACCACTCTTCCCTGTTATTCCCAGCTTTTATAAGCGAAGCATCCAGTCTTTCCTTATGGGATTTGTCTTCTTAATGTATGTTCTCCTGAAACCTTCTTAGACTATCTTTATATGTTCTTAGAAATGTAATATGAATACAGTAACAGTGTTTTCAAATGCAATCTACAATCCTCTTTGGAATACACTGGACCCTCGACTTACAGACTTTTCGAGTTACAGACTTCTCTGGCTGCAAAATTTAGATTCGACTTGCAGCCGGAGAATCGACCTACAGACCAGAAAAAAACCAAAATAGAACAAAAATAGAATAAAAACCGCCGGTTATGGGATTAATCAGTTTTCAATGCATTGTATGTAAATGGAGATTCGACCTACAGACTTTTCGACTTGCAGCCACCGTTCCAATACGGATTAATTCCGTAAGTAGAGGGTCCACTGTAACTTTTAGTCAGGGTTTTCTTGTATGCTGTGTTGTTCACATTAATGTACTTGTGATGGTTTTATTTAAGATGCCACCACCACCGGGAAATCTACTAAGGGAGGTACAGAGCCCAGTATACCCGCCTCTTCCTCCTTGGCAAGCAAAGCTGCCCCAGTATTGTCACATGGAGAAGACTTCTCACAGAAAAAGAACATAGATCATGACCCTCCAAAGCTTCCCAGTGCAGGAACAACTGAAAGATGCTTCATATTGGTCACAGGCATGACGTGCACATCATGTGTATCAAGCATAGAGAAGAATCTGGAAAAAGAGGATGGTAAAATCACTCATTTCCCTACATGATAGTTTAGTCTGGTGTTTTGAGCATTCAGCGATTGTTGGGTTACCCAACATGGTTTCTTACTGGTGTAGGCAGTGGCCTTGCAACCTGTTCGATTGAAATTTATAATTCTGTTGGAATGAATGAAGCCTAATTGACATGAGTGCAGGTGTGCCTGAGAAGTTGGGTGCCTGCATTTTACAGATTCGAAGCACTGCACAATGAAGCTACAGTATATTGGAGAACTGTCTAAATGACTAAATATTTATTGCAGTGCTATATTTATAAATGAGGTTATATTTGTGGAATAGATACAGTCTCATTTATGCAGTACTTCATAAAGGAAGGTATGCTTAATAAGGCTACATAATGTACCCAGACTGTAGTTATGTGGAAGAAATAAACCTGCATAAATTAAACTCTTTTTAATTGGAAGGCTATGTGAGGCAACATTTATTAGAGTATTACATAAAATCGAAGCTGTACTTACTACATCAAATACAGTCTCATTTGTGATGTGCTTGGCAGTGACATGCGTAAAGCTATATGCCGCTACAACACCTTGGAAGTGCGTGCAACCAATTTCAGGCTCACTTCCACGTTGGGATTCCTCAAGCAGTAGCCTGAATTTAAAAAAAAATTAAAAAATTAACTGTAGGGCAGGATGGAGTACTGCTCTCACAGGCAGATTGCTGAGTCATTCACTAGATTGTTTTGGATCTGATACAACTGTGTTTTTTTCAGGAATAGTGTCTGTACTTGTTGCTTTGATGGCGGGGAAAGTTGAGGTCAAATATAAGCCAGACAGAATTGAGCCTCTTGAAATCACCCAGTTGATTGAGAACTTGGGTTTTGGAGCTTCAGTCATAGATGATGATCCCGGTGCAAATGGCAGTATCGATCTTATAGTGAGTATCACAAGAAATACAAATACAGGTGTTTCCATCAGCGCTTGTTTAGTAAAGACAGTATTTTTTAACCACCACCCCCCATGTCAACCAGCATGACAGCTTACTACTGAAACAGTTGATGATGTCAACAGTGGTGGCAAGTCATCGCTGATTAGAAGCTTCCTTTGGCAGTTTTGGGTTATACACAACTTCTTCGCTTTGTGTACAAGTTGCATGCATCCCAAAATTGCCTTTAATCAATAGTGATTTGCTTTTAATTAGTTGGCATCTTGCTGAAGATACAATCCCTGTTGCATACACAGAGTTCCACAACAGGATTTCATTATTTGATTTTTAGAGTCATCTGAATTTTTCAAATCCCGTATTTAGGCACCAGCAACAAATCTTTAATGTTCAGGATGGGTGGGGGGAGTGAATAACAGCTTCAAATACCAGTGACAACAATTAGTCTTGGTGTTAAACTGCCTTTTTATGTATAAATAAAACTGTTAATGTTTTTATTTAATTGGGCATAAAACTTCTGCAATGTATTTTATTTCCAGCTGGATGCCTTTTGATCTCCAGCAGAAAGGTCAAATGCTAAATCCTAAGCGAGGATCTATTTTCGTTCAAAATATTAATGGCATGCATGAAAGCTAGAATTGCCCCGAAGGGTGGGGTGGGAAGGACTGAAGACAGATTAAGAATGTTTTCAGCCATGCAGAACTGCTCGGTGTCTTCAGTTGCAGAATTTATGTTCAGTTTTTTGACTGCACAAGTCCTGGATAATAAGGCTGATACGGTCTGTAGCCAATAAGAAGATGTGTAAAGTGCATGTGACATCTGAGAAATTAGCTGGTGTGAATTTGCGTGACCTTCTTGTCTTCTACCTGGAGCCTTCTGGAGATGTTGGACTCCAGCAGCTTTTAGTGGTAAAACACTTGGTCTATATGCAGTGGTCCCCAAATTGAGAGTGAAATCAGATGGGGTCTCATTCCAGTTTGGTCAGCTTTGTGGACAAGCTGGTTCACTCCTTTTTCTGGAGATCATGTGATGTACGGGCAGTCCTGAACCAGATCATCCCTTATCCATGCCTACGTACACGTACTCCCTGTCCAGGGCGACTGTTTTCTAGTGCAAGTGGGATAGCTCCATTTGAATTTAGTTCCAGCGTGTGTGATCAACAGAGTCAAAATAAAGTGGATTCCTGGGTGTCACTTTGCTTAAGCTGCTTTATGAGTTAATTACTGTAGTTATTAGGACATTTAAAGCTTCCTCCTGCTCCCCCATGAAGGGGGAGACAGAAGAAGATGCATTTTTTAAAATCCCTCGTGTCCAATGCTGAATTGGTTGATTAGCAAGACTGTTCAGTACTGTTCCACATTAAAAAAATTAAAAGCCACTTTCATTTTATTAAAACAAATCTATAATTACTTTATATTTTTATAAAAATTAAATAATATAAAAAGCATTCTCCACAGACAGAGGACAAGGAGAGAGTTTTTTTATTATATTTGTAAACCCCCCCCCCATTCCCTATAAAGAGGGAAATGGGCTAAAAGGGTCGTTTGGGGTGCAGTGTGATTTCTTGCCTTGAAACCATCCCATCCTTGCATGCAGATGTGAGGATTGCGGCATATGACATACCAAAGCTCAAAGCGCCCCTGTTGAGCATGATCCAGCCTGCTCCAAACTGGCCATCTTGTTGCAAGCTTGCTCGTCTGCTCTCCAGTTTAAAGGATCTCAAGGGAAACAACTCTTCTTCATGCCCTGGAGATCCACTGCCAGCCAACTCCAGGGTGGAATAGTAGGGTGGAAGGACTGGTGATCTAATAGAATGAGGTGCCTTTCCCTGTTGACTTTGATTTGCAGTTCTCTTTAGATCCTAGGAATGACCTGTGCTTCATGTGTTTATAACATTGAATCCAAACTTACCCAAACGCCTGGCGTTCTTCATGCATCGGTAGTGCTGGCTACCTCCAAGGCCCATGTCCGCTTTGACCCTGAAGTGGTTGGTCCTCGAGACATTATAAAGATTATTCAGGTAAGTTGTGAAAACAAAACTTGAAAGCCTCTGTACTGAGAATGCTGTAGCAGCTAAGATTTGGATGCAAGATTTAGTTATCAGTAAGGTAGGTATTTTGTGAAATAGTAAAACTGTGATCTTCTCAGTTGTGTGTTTCACACTTGGGTGAACATCAGTCATTCTCTTGTGCTTTTGGAAGATTAAATGGGGTTTCACAATTGGCAGGCGGCAGGAGAATTGGAACATGATCACAGGTACAATGAAGAACATCCCTCACATTTCTGTAAAGCAAAACTGATAGAAGAGCATTTTATAGAAACTTCCCAATCCTCAATATCTTGTGCTGCAGCATATTGTGGTTTACTATAAGGAAGGTTGGGAGTAAACGTGGTGCAGGTGTTTCGTTGTTGTTTAGTCATTTAGTCGTGTCCGATTCTTCGTGACCCCATGGACCAGAGCATGCCAGGCTCTCCTGTCTTCCACTGCCTTCCGGAGTTTCATCAGATTCACGTTGGTAGCTTCAATGACACTGTCCATGCATCTTGTTCTCTGTTGTCCCCTTCTCCTCTTGCTCTCACACTTTCCCAAACATCAGGGTCTTTCGCAGGGTCTAGATGGGTGTTTTAGCATTAAAGAAAAAAGTGTGTCAGGCAAAAATGAATGAAAAAATAAAATAAACAAGGCCAAAAAACCAAAACAAGACAAACACATGCTGACACTTTAAAAACTAACTTCTTCATGAGGAGGTGGACTTGTCCACCAAAGCTCACAGGAAAATATGGCAGTTAGTCTTTAAGATGCTACAGTATTTTAGTCATCTTTATTTCTTTTATGTTTGTTTAGTTTTTGTATGACATGCTAGCACAGACTAACACTCTTCTAAAAGAAAAAAAAGTGGTTATTATTAAATTAGTAGATTAGCAGCAGCCTACAATTTGAAAAATCAGGATTATCATCCTGGTTGCAAAACTGTTGTGGAAAAAATAAGGAACAGTTAGAACTACAGTATAACGGTTTTAAAGAGTATGCTGAACTTTTGTATTAATCTGGTTCCTGTTTTTACTGATATCAGGAAATTCCCCAAATAACAAAATATGAAATATGACTTCTGAATGTACTGTAATAAATGTGGAGCCATTTTCTAGGGAAAAATCTATGCTAAGAGGTTGAAATAGAGATTTGTTCAAAGCATGGAAGACGTCTGTCTTTATTGTAAATGATACAAATCTCACCAGTATGTCCCTTCTCCAGTTCTTTGATCTTCTCCCAACCCGATGAGCTATATCCAAATCCTTGGGAGTGATTTCAAGGTCTGGGCAAAGTCCTTGAATCCATTTTAAGATTATTTGTTTTACGTCCTCCTCTCCTGTCTCAGATTCCTTAAAATGTCTCAGACGGATGTTATAACGTCTCCCACGATTCTCCTGCTCTGTGAGTTTGTCTGTTAATTGCTGCACTCGCCTTGTGTTTAAATATTGAAATCATTGAAAAAATAAAGAAAGAAATTAATTTTTATGAAATAAATGATACTGCAGAAATAAAATCAGCATTGCTATGGGATGCCCTAAAAGCCTACCTAAGAGGAATTTTTATTATGGAAACCTCTAGAATAAAGAAAGAATGAAATAAGCTCCAAGAACAATTAGAAAGTAAAATAAAAAAATTAACAGAACAACATAAACAACTAGGAACCAAGAATATACTTAATGAATTAACAAAAACTAGAGTAGAGTTAGAAGCATTGGATACTGCAAAGGTTCATACAGCTATGAACTATTTAAAGAGAGAATATTATGAACATGGAAATAAAAACACTAAACTGCTATCACATGCAGTTAAAAAGAGGGCAGCAAAAAGAACAATTGTTTCATTAAAAACGAAGG